CCCCCCCCCCCCCCCCGCCCCCCAGCAGCTAACATCACCTGGCCCAGGACAACGCCAGCCGAGATCTCGGTCTCGGAAGCGAACGGGGTTCTAAAACCGCGCTTAAGCCCGCTTTAGGCCCTTTAGGGTTCAGAGTTTATAGGGTTTGGGCTTACAGGTTTTAGTAGGGTTTAGGGCTTTAGGGTTTAGAGTTTATAAGGTTTGGGTTTCAAGGTTTTATTAGGGTTGAAGGTTTGACGAGAGTAGTTGGGAGTTGAAATTGTGCGGCCGCATCTTCGCTCACGGAAACATACATGTTTGTTCGGGTCACTTAATTTGTACATCGAGGTGCACTGGCGGCTTGGGGTGAACATTGTTTGAAAGGAGAGCCCAGACATCCTGTTCCTTAAACCCTAAACCCTAAATCCTAAACTCTAAACCCTAAACCCTAACCTGCAGACAGTTCAAGGTCGAACTCAGGCTTGCCAAACCCCTACGCCCAAAGCTAGTAAGGAGGCTCCTCTCTCACCCCCGTACACCAACGGAAGCAAGCGCCAAAATCCTCAGCCCAACCCAAACCGCACAACCCTGCACTCTAACTACTGGACCCCTAAGGCCCAAACCTTGAATATTAGGTTCCTTTTCAGGCGCGTAGGGTTCCTTAAAGGGATCTGTAAGGGTTTGAATATGGGAAGTATATGGGTAGTTTTCTAAATCAGGGTCCCTTTCAGGATCTGTGCGTTTAATCAAGGGTGCCGTACTTTGGAAATCGGGGTCCTTTTCAGGGTTTTCTGGTTTACCAAAGTCGCCGTACTTTGAAAATTAGAGTCCCTTTCAGGGTCTTGTTTTATCAAGGATGCTGTACTGTCGAAATTAGTGTCCCTTGCAGGGTCTTTGTTTAACCAACGGTGCCGTACTTTGGAAATTAGGGACCCTTTCAGGGTCTTTTTTGGGTGCCGTGCTTTGGATATGAGGGTCCCTTTCCGGGTCTTTGTTTAAGTTTATCAAGGGCGCCGTACTTTGGAAATTAGGGTCCCTCTCAGGTCTCTTGTTTATCAAGGCCGTACTTTAGAAATCAGGGTGAGTTTCAGGATCTTTTTTGTTCAAGTGTGCCGTACTCTGGGACTTAAAAGGGACCCTAATTTAGATAACTATCCATATAGAACTTTGAATAACTATATATGTATACAGTCAGTTTAATCCTGAGGGTTCCTGATTCCTCATTGTAGATATAGTATGCAATCAAATATCACCCAAAGCCGTGTTCAAATTCTACGGCCCCGGCAAAAACCCTTTGCCTTCCCGTTGCAAGCCCTTTGGCAACGCACACTAGTGGCTTATGCTTGAGGGTGGGGTTTAGGGTTTAGATCCTTTGGCCCCGCCGGCTGCGCCATCGGCCCCGCCGACCGTGGCGCCACCTGCTGCGGAGCTCGCCTTGCTCCGCCTTGATCGACGAGAAGCTGAAGGACAAGTTCCAGCAGCCAGTCAATGCCCCCCTGGACAACGACGGCACCCGGGGCAAGGTTCTCTTCAGCGATGGCCTGGTCTTTGACTTCGAGCGACGCCGAGCCCCGAACACCCGAAACACTGAAGACCCAAACCCTGGTACTCGAAACGCCCTAAACCCCGCACTCGGATCACCGATATTCTGCAGTCCTCAGCGCCTTACTCCCCAAACCATGAATCCAGAATCACTCAGAAGAAAAATACCGGTGGCTCCTTTTGAGGGCACCTCGCGCCAATACCGAAACCCTACACATCCCTAGACCCGAAATCTTGGAACCTAAACCCTGAACCCTAAACCCTAAACCCTCAAAATCCCCTTAGAGAAACCCCTAAACCCTCGTAGGAACCCTGAGTCCTAAGCCGGAACCATCGATCCTTAAAGAGTCCTGCTGTTGCCTCTTGAGGCCTCAAAGGGATGGGCAGGGAAAGCTTACATCAATACTGGTGATGAGATTTTAGGGTTTAGGGTTTAGGGGTTGAGGTTTTAGGGGTTTAGGGTTTAGGGGTTTAGGGGTTTAGGGTTTAGGGGTATAGGGATACTATTGATGATATTTTAGGGTTAAGGGTTTAGGGGTTGAGGGTTTATAGTGATTCCCATGAAGTTGGATCATGGATTTAGGATGACTAGTGCTGGGATCCCCCATGCCTAACCGTAAGGGCATGGGGATAATACTGTAGGGTTTGGGGTTTAGGGGTATGGGGATACTGTTGATGGTATAAGTACAGCATTACCTTAAGGACCCTAAACTATGGGAATGAACTATGGAATATACCTATGTAGTAGAATCTGGGGTTTGTATAGTACTTTAAGAGTCACGATTATGATTTGGGAAAGTATCCCCATAACAGCACCTGGGACCCACTGGGGTCCTAAACCCCAAACCCTAAACGGTTTAGGGTTTAGGGTGTAGGATTTAAAGCCCTATGAACCTTAAACCTGTGACCCCAAACCCTACAAAATAGTAGGTCATGACCCCTTATTTCAAGGATAGAACCCTTAAGACGGTAGGTTTTGGGATCCCCATATAAACCTAAAACCCCTGAACTCTAAACCCTGGAAAAGCCGTTCCATCCACTCAGGGCTTCGCCATCTTCGGGCCGGGCGGTCCGCAATTTGGCAGCTTGCCCCAACTTCCCACGGAGCGATGGTTTAGGGTTTAGGGTTTAGGGTTCAGGGTTTAGGGTTAAGGGTTTAGGGTCCAGGGTTTAGGGTTTAGGGTTTAGGGTTCAGGGTTCAGGGTTGAGGGTTTAGGGTTTGGGGTGGGATTTTGGGCTTAAGGTCTATAGGGTTCAGGGTTCAATGGAGTTTGCATAAGAGGTCTATACAAAATACTCTGTAAGGTTTATCATAAGGTGCCCCCTTAGAGTTCTGGGATAATTAACATAAAAGCTTGAACACTTAGAACTATCACTTCTTAGGGTTCTAGATGAAGATTACAGTATAATTTCCCCCAAGCCCGATTCTATTTGTCAAGGATCCCCCGCATGCTATGAATGAAATTGGATGTACCTTCTTATCGGTATTGTGGTCGAAGGTTCAGACAAGATGAGGATTTCAACGTGACCTTTGACACCGAGGACAATCCCCGATCTATTCGCCACATTGTCATTGACCAGAACCGCAAAGGCACAGAGCCAGCAACAAACCAGGATGTAACCCGGTTGCGTAGTGTAGTGGGCCGAATTGCATTGGTGGCGCGCTACTCGCGTCCGGATTTGAGTTACAGAGTCAACTGCTTGCAACGTGCGTGTGCAAGAGCCAACCGTGTGGTGGATCTGGCAAAGGCAGATGCGGGGATTTCCATGTTTTATCCAGCGGGGAAGTTTTCATGGCACGATGCGTGCGTTGTCAGCTTCTCAGATGCAAGCCATGCGGGTGAAGAAGGGTTGAGAAGCCAACAAGGGAGATTTCGAGATTTCACTACATTACCTCGGAAAAGATGGTAGACTCCAACGAGCATGTCGCGCACATCATAGGGTATGGCTCTACAACCATTCGCCGAGTTTGCCGAAGTACTTTACAGGCAGAAACCTATGCGATTTAAGGCATAGGCGGCATAGTCCTCAGCTCAGGGCAGGGATCGTGCATTTTGGAAAGCTAGCCTCAACTTCGTCAGGTTTTGGGACTTTCGGTTGACGGTTTCAGGTTTTTTCAAGACTGAGGTCTCATGTTGTATTTAGTGGAGTTTGAAGGGCTCCAAATTCAACTGCGCTCAGTCCAAGGAACCAGACAGAGGATTTGGGTCCTATTCCGCAAAGCTGTTAGGGTGTAGGGTACTTGGAGGTTCATGGGTAGTTATAAGTAGGGTTATAAATCCCCTAATATGGGTTATAACTATAGGTACCCTTCTCATAACCCACTTATAGCTACCCATGAACCTCCAACCAACCCCTGAGTGTCCCAGTACTTTCTGTTATAGGACTTTGGGTGGGTGCCAAAACCCATACATTAAGGACTACTTGGGCTCTTAGGGTACGCCTCGAAACCCTAAATGCTAGAGGGTTAAGGGTTTAGGAAATAACGACTACTTGGAGCCTGAGGGTACGGCTTTGGGGGTTATGGGGGCTGGTTACGGGGTTGTGGCTTCGGAAGCCCCGGCGCAGCTGCCCGGGACCCTTGTTGAATGTCACAAACAGGTTAGGGTTTAGGTTTTAGGGTTTATAGGGTTTAGGGTTTAGGCTAGGTGTTGGGCTCTTTTCATTTCTAGAGCGTACCAAAGGGCAAGGGTCCATGTATCTAGTAACTTGCGGAAATACTAACCTATATGTAATAACTACTATCCGAAGCCCAACTACCTAACTTTTGACAAGATGTACGGTCAGTGCGGTTCAGGAGTTAAACCTGGGTGGAGGGTTGTGGCCGGGCGTGTCGTAGCCACGCTTTTCTGGGTGGAGCCGCGGATCAGCTAGAATGTTGACACGCCACAACGGGTTTAGGATTTATAGTAAACCCCCCAATAAATGGAATCAAGGACAAATAGTGCTAGGATTCCCTATGCGTCACTATTGAGGCTATTGGGTTTCCAATTTTTTTGGGCTTCTACGATGGATGCCAAGATCTCCTGGCCCCTACCCCCTAAAGCCCTCCACCCTCCACACCCTAAACCTTAAACCCTAAATCTTAAACCCTAAACCCTAAACCCTAAACCCTAAACCCTAAAACCCTAGAACCCTAAAGCCCTAAACCCTAAACCCATAGAGTCTATAGACCTCAAACGCCGAAGTCCTAGAACTCTGAGGGTCCATCGCACACTGATAACCATATGCTCTCGGAAGACTACCTACAGTCTCTATTGTGGTTCGTTTTTCGGGGTTCCCTTTTCGGATCCTAATTACAACTTTGGTTCAACCTACGCTAAAACAAAGTAACTACAATGGGGACTATAGGTACACTTCAAGAATCAAGTACTGAACTATGAGGTCCTCCCGAAAACCCTAAACCCTACAAGCCCTGTTTGAACCTTAAGGTAACTCCCATGGACGGCCCCAGGTGTGCTCCGACAAGGTTCCAGTGGCTCCTTCGAGGTGTCAAAGTGGGACAGGGTGGATCTGTTTTGGATTTAGGGTGCCTAAGCGTCAAAAAACCCTAAACTAAAACCTTGCAAACCCTAAACTTAAAGTTTAACCTTATTAAGCCCTAAACTTAAACCGCATAAGCCCTAAACTTGAACCTTATGAACCCTAAACTTAAACGTTATATACCCTAAACTCGCACCGTATAAACCCTAAACTTAAACCTTATCCATGGTTGTAATCGGGCGGTTCGGT